CACATAAATCACCCAGGGAACTACAAGTTCCAGCATGCAAGCCCCCTGCAGTAGTTCCCTGCGTGATATGCGAGAGTTGTTCAGGGACAGTAAGTGCATGCTGGGACTTGTAGTTCCCTGTATGGTAGAAGGTTGTTTTAATTACTTTCCTCATGAAAATACAATGCCACTATAGGGCAGTAACTTTTGAATTCAACTATATTCTATTCTATGTTTCTATAATGACATTGTATTACTAGTACTTTCATGAGGACAGTCATTAAAACAGCCTTCTATCATACAGGGAACTACAAGTCGCAGCTGAACGGCCGACTTGTAGTTTCCTAGTAGTACAATGACATTATAGAACATGGAATAGAATATAGTCAGTTTCAGCCATGTTCTATAGTGGCAAGTACTTACCTCACATGTCACGGTCCTCTTGTCTTGTTCTCACAGCTGGAGGAAGCTCTTGCAGGAGGCTGTAAAACACACTAGCGTGCGGGGACATCGAGGCGGGTCTCTGCATCAGGCGGGTGCTGCTGGGTCCTCACGGCTGAGGCCCCAGTGCTGCCCCAGTATTTGCCCGCATTTCTGGCTAGTTGTTCTCTCTGCCCGGCCCACCCGCTGGCCACTGCCTGGCTGCCGCACCATCGGCCCCCTGTTTGTTATGCTAACGCCGGAGCCCGGTCGCATATGCGACCGCTGCGACCCTGGTAGTTCCGCCACTGAAAGGGCCCCTTCATGTCCTTGCTTGGCAAATACACCTATTTTACAAGACACTAAATATACCGCAGTATCATTCATCTTGAATTGCACCCCAAACCACTTGCGTTGTAATGGACCACAAACACATTTAAATATTTGCTTACTTCCACCAAAGAACCAGCCCACTGCTTGCATCAGGGCTGAGGGCTCTTGAGTGTACTGAGGCAAGGCGGTGGTGCGATGGTTTTAGGAAGCTATGTACAGCACCCTGCTGGCCCCTCCCAGCAGCAATGATCTGCCTGCCGGCACCTCCCACCAGCCATGATCTGCCTGCCGGCCTCTCCTACCAGCCATGATCTGCAAAAGCAATGACAGCTTTCAGCAGAGATATCGGTAGATGGGCGTTTGTGCTCCACTCACGTGTATGAGTGCATTAGGACCACCGCCAGGCTGCGAATCCCACGGGACAGCGCCCCCTGCAGCTTGATCTTCAGATGTTCCAGATTCAGCGGTTCCCAGACCTCCAGCGAGTCCCCTGTGGAACCTGAACATAGAAGAATAGTAAGCCAAGAGTTCTAGAGACATGATGGCTTCATATAAGAAAGTGCCCATGTATTAGAACCTCCAATTACATTGTAGATAAGGACATGGGGGCAGCCATAATTGCTTACTGCCCAGACAGGATCCTACTTAGTAGTATTGCAGCCTCCATAGACTGATTGTTTATGATCCTGGGCCGCATGTCGTGAAACCCATTCAATATAGAGGACAAGAAGTGTTCACATGTGTGTAGTTACCAACTATTGATTCCTTTAGAACAGCAGCAAGCTTCTATCAGCAGAGGAGCCAAGGAGAGCCCGGAAAACACGTTAGTGAGTCTACAGCGCCCCCTGCTGACTGGCTATAATACAAACCATTTACATGCAATAGCTACCTGAGAAAATCACAAATTAATATAAAAAATAAAGAACCGCCATACATTCCCTTTAATTTCCCAGCAATAAAAACAATTATATATATATGTTTGCGTGTGTGTGTATGCAACTTCCTGGAGTCAAAGACTGGACTTTAGGTTCGCTTGGCTCCAGTGCTGCCTGCATACAATTAAAATGGCTCCCAAACACATGTGGTTGGGAGCAGCTAACATGCTAGTGATTGGCCAAAAATGATATCTAGTGTGTTATAACCAAGCTAATCAATAATAACGCCACCCTGTCTGAGTGGTGTAGCTGAGAGATTAGACCTATCAAAATTATATAGAAATGGGATTTATTGCTTGTGCTGAAGGCCTTGAGATCTCCTTTTCAACCTATTGAATCTCGCTCCTTGTGGTATCTCACTTTAAGGGCAGTGGTTTTGGTGACAGGCATGTTTCAGAACTGCATGCTCCAGAACTGCATGCTCCATCTTCCAAAGACCAATACTGCCTGAGGTTTCCAAACAGGACAATCCCGAGACCAGTTCCCGCCTTTCTTCCCAAGGTGGCGTCAAAGTTCCACATCTACTGGGAAAATTGAAGTTCTTTTACAGATGGAGAGTGAGAGTGGCCAGGCTGGTAACGATGCATAGCTCACAGATCTACTTAGACAGGTTTGCTCAGGTCAGGCAAGACGAGAACCTGTTTGTCCTCCCTTTAGAATTCCGTCTCCATGGATAGTGAAAACCATCCAGGTGACCTACATGTCCTCAGGTCTTTCCCCTCCTTCTACGCTACAGGCTCATTATACTAGAGGAATGGCAGCGGTGTGTGCCAAGGTGCCTGTCAGGACAATATGAAAGAAACCTAGTTGAAGCACATGCAAAATTTTGGATGTCAGATTTCTTGTGGCTTCTGTACTGTCAGCAGCCTTATAAGGGCGGTTAGTGCTATTGTGCTATTGGACGGACAGCTGAAGATCATCCCCTAGACAGAGTAGAAATGAGCGTCACTCCTTCAGTGGTGGAACCAGCAAGGTGATGCTCCTCCCACACAGGGCAAGGGAGATTTAAGCTAGTAAGGGACCACTGCCATAGGAGCAGGTTGAGCACTCTCCTGAGTGATCCTGTTGTTACCAGCGAGAGGAATACTAAGTTGACACATCTCAAACCCTGCAGTCATGACACTGGAAATGTAAGAGGTGGAGGCATTGATTGGCTATCCATGCCTAACCAGCCAACCAAGGCCTTTGTATTTCATACTTCCAGGATCTCGGCTATAAATTTAGACAGGAGAGAGCAGCATCGGCGGCATGGTGGACCCAACCATTGAGTTAGCTTATTTCCAGGTTTGAGACCAACGCCTGCTTCCAATTTAATGTCGGCACGAGGACAGGAGAAATAATTACTTCTATACAGTTCTTTGTGAATGGTACGGCTCACCTATGAAGGTCTTCAATGAAGGGTGTTTGGGAAGCTGACAGTCAGACTGTTGGAGGACGACCCTCTCCTCCACCTCTATCACCTCTTCATACAGCACCTCCGGCATCCGGACCTCCTGTGAGAGAGGCCAAAAGGTTAAACTGTAAGTTACCCCAAAATTGTATTTGACATAAATGTGTCTTGTTTGTCCATGTAGATCAGGGGTAGCCAAACTCCAGATCTCCAGAGCCATGAAGCATCTCTCTCCGGGAGTCACGTCTGTGGCTGTGTGAATCTTGCAATGCCTCATGGGATTTTTATTTCCACCACAGCTGGAGGGCCGGAGTTTGCTACCCCTGATGTAGATGGTTGTGAATGTACCATGAGCGGTTTTTATTTCTAAGATGGCTTCCAAATACCTGGTGATCCTGCCAGTTCCCGTTGTTTCCTTGCAATCTGACCACGGCAGGCATGGAGGCAGATCTATACCAGGGGTAGCCAAACTCCGGCCCTTCAGCTGTGGTGAAACTAGAAATGCAATGATGCATCCCTCTTCGAGAGTCATGTCTGTGGCTGTGAGAATCTTGCAATGCCACATGGGATTTGTAGTTCCACCCACAGCTGGAGGGCCGGAATTTGGCTACCCCTGATCTATACTGTCGTAGTCAATTTGGGTATCAATGCTTCCTTGTAGGAGGCAGGCGTGCCTGTACCATCCATAGTCAGTGTAGTGCCATGACCCAACCTGCTGGGTGGATTGACAGCAGTTTCCAGCAAGAGCCTCAACATCAAACTGCAGCTGCTCATAGCGTACACAGACAGGGAAAGTACTTCCACATTGTGTGTGCCATCACAAACCGCCTGCCCACTAAACTGTAACGCTCCCATGCGATGTACAAAAAAGAGACACCTCAAGGAAGTCTGTAAGGTCACAAAAACACCTAGAAAATGGTATGAAGCATTTATTTTTGGGGGGATAGAAATGTGATTATGGTGAACAATGTTCTTGTATTGCCTTCACATTGAGTTGAAGGATGGGATGAGCTCAGGTCCTGTCCAAACCTGAGCTCCTCTGATGCTCCTCCCTTGGGCGCCCAATCATCTGTGGCCTGGAGTCCACCGACCACCGCTGCACATAAGCCAAGGGATGGGATGATGGGATGTCACTGACTTTCTATGGCTACATTTGGTCAATGACTTTGACCTAATGGGGCCATGTGAGCATACAAGGTCAGTTTATGTGTAGCTGCAGGGTGTGGAATGTCCCGGCCCGCAGCCGATTGCGCAGGTGGCCCCATGTCCCTTCCGGATTCGGAGGAGATCATCTCTAACTTTAGGGAAAGAAGGACCTCTGTGCCTGGTTGTTCTTTTGCATTCCTATGTTTTAAAGTTGCACGTAGTGGAGGGAACATAAACTCTGATTGCTCTGTGACATCAGACAACGGTATATTATCAATTGCCATCTTGCCTGGTTCCAGAAGCCAGCCACTCTGTAACCTCATTGCAGCCTGAAGCTGGCCATACACCTAGAGATTATCTGCAGATTTTCTGTGGTCAGATGGAAAACGTGCAACAGATTCCTCCATCTACGCTCAACTGTGTGGCTGGAGCAGTGACGTCACAAGGGGGGTGCGGCCCGCACCCGGGTGCCACCATTGGAGGGGTGACACCAAAATGACTGAGAGTCATTTTGGAGTCACCCCCTATGAAATGTCGGGCACTCGATCACTAATCAGAGTGTTCAGGTATTTTGAGAGCCAGCGGGGCCGACTAGCAAGATAATCTGTAGGAGTATGGCCAGCTTAATACTAACTCACTTTTCCCATAGCCCAGGGATAGCTAATAAAGTGTCAGCCCACCCAAAAAGTGACTATTTGGAGGAATAGGACCCCTCATAATGGCCACAGCAGCTGTGCCGTCCCGAGATCTCTCCAACAGAAAACCTTCATCTATTATTAAATGCTAACATTTCAGTTTTAGGTGCGCTGAGCCTCTGCTTACTTGCACATACAAGTATCTCTAAGTCCATGTCAACCCCCAACAATGAACTTCTCTTTTGTGCTCCTTTGTGGTCTGTTAAACATATAATTTAAGGTGTTTGTTATGTCAATTCAAGAAGTGCAAAAATACCTGTGGATCCTGCCATAAATCCTTTCCTAGGTCCTGTGCTCTCTGTCTCTGTGTCTGTTACCAAAGGAGTCTAATCAGCCCTTCCAGATCTCCCCTTGGACAACAGAACCATTACACCCTATACGGTAGAAAGAGGTAAGTGTTTTGTACTTCAGAAAAAAGGTAAGTGGGCAGGGCTGACACCATTCCTTGCTATTTCAGTACAGGAGAAGCACTGTGTTGTCAGTAATTAGGGGGTGAGGGCATTTCTAGCAGATCCTCAGGTTTTGTTCCATATTTAAAAAGAAAGAACGCGGGAAATGTGTATGTATGAGAGAGATGTACAGAACGTGTTTTTATTTGCTATAAAACAGGGTCTCAGCTGCCGTTGTGATGTGCGGGGTCCCTTGTGTGTCCCTGCGCCTTTAAGGAGGTTGGGCTGCCTCCTGGCGAACCTGCACCCAATTTGATATTTTGCTCCATGTGCTCCAAGATGGAGACTGTCATAGTTTATAGTTAGGACCGCACTATAAGAGGTGCCTTGGCGCGGCTGTGCGGCTTTCACATGTTCTGCAGAAGACGTGTATCTAGGGTTGCCACCTTTTCTTCAAGCGAAACCTGAACACTCTAGCGACGGGCGGACATTATTTGGGGGAGAATGAGTCGCGGCTTGTTCATATGTAAATATCACAGCTGAGACTATTTTCAGTGGGGGGACCAGTAGCCCCCTATCTTAATTTTGTTTGCCCCCGTCTGCCTGACATCTTGTGTCCGGGTTTCTGCTGCCATGAAACCCGGACACAGCATTCAAAACCCGGACTGTCCGGGTGAATCCTGGACAGGTGGCAACCCTACGTGTATCCAAACCTCTGTTTTTAACCTTAGCGGTGAGAAAAGTTTTTTCTTTGCATGCTGGTGAGTGTGCTGGGAAACCTTTTGCTGTATATTTGCTATAAAACACTTTAAATACTAGATTGCGGACTACATTCTGTGCGGCATGTATTCGGCTGCTTGGATAATACTTTATATGTAGAAACAAATGGTGAACTTGCCAGGTCAAAGATCTTGGGTCTGGCCTGGTTCCCGATGTGGAGAAGGTCTTTGAAGCCCTTCGTAATCAGCAGAGCGATCCTCTCCCCCTTTCTTTCCAGCAGGGCATTGGTGGCCACGGTGGTCCCCATCCGGATCCATTCGATCTGCTGAGTGTCCAAGGGGAGGTCCCGAGGGAACAGAGAGCCCGTTTCCTGTACGACAAACCTGCATTAGATTCCTTGAACAACAACGCCTAGGCCAAGAGTAGAGCCCGCTCTCCGAATCACTAATACAAGCACTGGACATATTAACTTGCCATATTCTTCTTAGGATTTCATAGATTTCTTACCCCTAGAGGGTTCACCTATTGGACTGATCGTGCAACAAGTAAACTTGCTGAACATCTGCCTAAATGTGATTGTCAGAAGAGCAGACATCCCAACCTGCAAAACCTTATTTCAGGGAGGTTCCCGTCTCATTTCAGGGAGGTGCCCTTTCTTATTTTTTTTTTTTTTTTTTACAGCGGCCGTCGTCAGAATATAAAAAAAATTATAATGATAATAATTATATATACATCAGATTTGTGAATTGATGTTCAAGTATCTGTCAGTGTAAAGGTCACAATTTATTAGACAGCCCGAGACCTTTTTAAAAAAACGCTGAGGAGTAAAGTCCCCGATAAACCATTGACTAGTTGCTATGGGCAGCAAATGAAATAAATGTTCTCTATAACTAGACAACCAGGACATATAATTGATTCTATATTATCCACAAAGGGTAAACAGCACTCTCTCAACCCTGCAGCAGTAGATCTCAGTGCCTGTACCTGCTCTCAATAGTAGTCTATGTCCGCCCTCTCTGTGCAGCAAGTAGCTTCTTCCTTCTGGGAGCCAAGCCTCGTTCTGGGGCTACTCTAGAGATCACATGACCTTCCTCCAGGAGGCAAGCCTCGTTCTGAGGCTACTCTAGAGATCACATGACCTTCCTCCAGGAGGCAAGCCTCGTTCTGAGGCTACTCTAGAGATCACATGACCTTCCTCCAGGAGGCAAGCCTCGTTCTGAGGCTACTCTAGAGATCACATGACCTTCCTCCAGGAGGCAAGCCTCGTTCTGAGGCTACTCTAGAGATCACATGACCTTCCTCCAGGAGGCAAGCTCACTCTGAAACTTTACCCACTGATCTCTTACCGGAAAGGTTTACTCAGAGTAATCCTTTCAGGGAGAAAATGCCTCTCTCGCAGACCTCAAGGAGCCGCTATCTAATAGAGGGAGACTCCCTGAACATCAGGGAGACTTGAGATCCCTGGAAGAGCCACTTACAAAGATTATTGTACATGGTTAATAACAAAGCCGAACATTCATAGAAGAGTCAGCACATCCACTGCGCAATGTTTGTTTACTTAAAGTGAACACACGCTTGCCATTGAAGGTTCTCCTGAAGCTGGTTCCTTCCAGGCCTCTGCTCACTCTTCCTTGCTCCCATGCATTCCATTCACAAATGAGGAAAGTAGTAACAAAACATTTCCAGGGTCTTCCAAATTTTGGGAAACACCTAACGCGAACCCATTCATCATGCTGTGCAGCCGCATGGCGTGTAGTACATAAAGGGGGACCCTACTCATCACCACCAAGCAGGAGGACCCTGCAATACTAGGTCACCACCCAGGGGGCGTAACGAGAAATCCCAGGGCCCCATAGCAAAATGTTGTATTCAGTTTCTGAATGGGGAAAAGCCTCTGTACGGAGTGCTTCTCCCCATTGAGAAATTCATGAATGAACAGGAAGTGATGTAAATCACATCCTGTTCATTCATAACTGGGGACACATAGCGCTATGTGTCCCCAGTTATTTACAAACACTGGAGTGATCAGACGGTCGCTCCAGTGTTTGTGCTGTACACAGAGGATCGGTAAATATCACTGATACTTAGCGATCCTCCGCGCGGCCCCGTACAGAGCCGCTGTCTTCCTTAAACTGACAGGATGAAAGCGGCTCCGCTCTCCTCCCCACCTGCTGCTCAATCATCGTGATCGAGTGTGCCACTGGATCATGATGATCGAGCGGCAGGCGGGGAGGAGAGCGGAGCCGCTGTCCTCCTGTCAGTTTCAGGACGAATCGGCTCCCCCGCCGCCATTTCTTTTCGGATCCCCGCTGCCTCAGCCCACACAAGCAGGCCCCCCCCAGTGCCGCGGACCCCATAGCGACCGCATCGGTCGCTATGGTGGTAGTTCCGCTACTGCCCTTTTGTGAATAACCCCCTAAAATAAGAAGTTGGATTGGGTCTCTTCTTTATTCTTATGGAATGGAGGGTATCACTATCCCTGGGGAGCGGAGACATGACCGGTTCTGTTTGGGAAACGGGAGGTGGCCTAGTAATGCAGGGTGGTGATGAGTAGTAATCCAACAATTATGAATAGATTGATTCTGCTGCTCTAGTTTAGACCCATGGCCCACTGCTGGAGTGTTTTACTCAAAGCTCTTCTACATTCTGCCATTTATAGCTATCCAGGTATTCCCTACCAGGGAAGACAGTGAAGCCCCACTAAAAAAGGGGCAGCATAGAACTTCACATGGTCTACAGCTAGCCCCAGTTTTTCCACAGGGCTGCCCAAGCTTCTGTTTTTTGCACTAGCACCCCACCCCCTCCTTCTGAACCATCACCCTCTCTCTACCCCTAACCCTCCCTGCTAAAGAGGACTAAGCCTGCTTATTTCTAGAGGGCCCTACAAGTATTAGGAACCTTCTTTTTTCAGGCAATTTGTCTTTATAAAAACATTCTAGATGGGGACAACAGTAAACCTGCTTCATTGACCCACATAGGCAAAGGACAGTTAACGGCTCACATGTACATACAGAAATCAAGCACAGTAACCGCTCAAGGTTTGAAGAAAATTAAAATAAATGAGATTACAGTCAGGGTCGGATTTACTCTCCCTGCTGCCCCAAGGCCAGGTTCCACAATGTGTGTCCCCCCACCCCCATCAATGGTGGAGAATGGCAACCGGATGGCAGGGGCGGCAGGGTTGTTTTTATTTTATTTTTTATTGTTTCTTTATTTTTTTATACTTTATCACTTTTTAATTTTTTTACATTTTTAATTTATCTTATCGTTTACTTTTTGATTTTTGTAATAATTTTTTTATCTTATTATTGTTTGTTCATTTAGCCCTGCTTGTGCAAAGCAGGGCTAAATGTAGAAAACAACTTACCGCCCGGCACTGAATGTCCCGGGGGATTCCACACCGCTGTCGCCCCTCTGCTCCCTGCCGCCCCGAGGCCGGGCCTCGGTGGCCTTGTGGGGAAACCGGCCCCGATTACAGTTTCTAAAATATCAGTCCGTATTAATAACATTATTTGCGTTCAGCTGGTGACATTCACTGATGCTCTCACATATACTCATACAGACAAAACTGTAGAACCAAGGGCCACTTACCTCCTCTAGGATTCGTCGTATACCCTCCGTTGGGGCATCCTGGTAGTTTGCTGGGTCCTCAGACAGCAGCTTCATGACACGAACTTTACCCCCCGGACAACGCGCAAACACATCTGTGAAGGTCCCACCGCGGTCTATGGCGAACTGGAACTTCTCTGGAACACCCATGATGGTAAGACGTTGCCTGGGGGGAGGGGGGGGGGAGGACAACCAGGATCAGTAATAGAAGTGACGGGCAAAGCTTGGTTGTGATCTCAGCGTTTGAAGCTTGTATTTTGACGCTATGATATAAATGTCTAACTCTGCGGATATCTTGAGGGTTCCGTGTCTATCCAACATCGAAATGCTGTCAGCAGAGCCGAGCGTAAACCTTATACAGCATTTCACTTCCACATACTGTAACAATTATTAACACCCTTCGCTTGTGACTGGAGATTTCACGGTTCGTCGGAGAAGCTATTCTAGAGTTCAAAGTAGCAAACATTACGCAATGGCATATCAGGCTGTAGGGTTTACGGCGCGGTTATATCATCTGTTATGAAGAGAACAATACACAAAGATGCATTATCGAGGACTGGTATGATTTCAGACTGGAACTTAAAAGGAGAACTATGAGGTCAGGGCTTTTCCCCATAGTTCTCCTTAGGGTAACGGGAGGACACAAACTAGCGTCCTCCCGTCACCCTAAGCTCAGTATATAGGGAGCTGTAGCTCGCGGTACACTGAGACGCCGCAGCTGAAGCGGATCCCGACAATTGTGCCGGGATCCGCCCAGCTGCGTGAGTGACAGCTGGCTCCGCCTATCTAGAAGCAGAGCCAGCTGTACCCGCCCCCTCCCCTGTCCGTTCCGCCAGTCAGCGCTGGAGGATCGGACAGGGGAGGCGGGAATCCAGTCCCTCTCACGGCTCTCTGCAGGCATAGATCGAGAAGTGAGCGAGCGCCGGTATGTGTTCGCTCACTTCCCGATCTACTAAGCCGACCTGTGACAGTTTCATTGTCACAGGTCAACTCAGATTATGAGGTGAGTGAAAATCACCCCCTCATAGTTCTTCTTTAAAGTGTCAGTAAACCCATATTAAACTGTAAATTACCGGTACCTGGTGATGCCGCCATCAGCTTCTACTTCCTCCCTGATGACAACAAAGAGAAGACCGGGGTACTTTGTGGTTCTTTGTTATGGAGCCATCTGATGATTGTGCAGTATCAGTGTGCAGGACCCCATACATTCATACGGCATTCAGCAGACTTTAAGGAGTCTAATCATACATCTTCTGTCCAGCCTAGGGTTGCCACCTTTTCTTCACAGAGGACTACAAATCCCAGCAATACATTATACAGCAATACAAAATATTATGAAGCTACATAGTCTGTGTGGTTCCGGGTTGGTGCCCTGTCTCTAGGGTCTCAGGTGCCCTATGTGGCCTCTCAGATGGGCTGTGTGGGCTCTTAGGTGGGCTATTCAGCTCTCAGGTGTACTGTGCGCACTCTTAGGTGGGCTGGGCGACTCTCGACTCCTCTCAGGCCGGCTGGGCGACTCCTCTCAGGCCGGCTGGGCGACTCCTCTCAGGCCGGCTGGGCGACTCCTCTCAGGCCGGCTGGGCGACTCCTCTCAGGCCGGCTGGGCGACTCCTCTCAGGCCGGCTGGGCGACTCCTCTCAGGCCGGCTGGGCGACTCCTCTCAGGCCGGCTGGGCGACTCCTTTCAGGTGGGCTCTGTGACTCCTCGCAGGTTGGCTGTGCGACTCCTCTCAGGTGGGCTGTGCGACTCAGGTGAATGAGGAGGAGGAGAAGGCGATGTGCGAGCAGCCTATGTCTGTTTGCAGGCGCCCACAGCTCAGAGGAAGATCCAGTTTCAGGTAGATGCGGCTGCCCGAGATCGCGCTTGCTGGATCCTCAGACAGCCGCATTTGTCAGAAAATGTAAAGTCCCGGTATCGGCACTTAGTGTTTTGTGTCCGCTGACTGGACACCCGAACACAAGACTCCAAAACCGGACTGCCCGGGTGAAAACCGGATGGGTGGCAACCCTAGTCCAGCCATATGCTGGGTGAATGCCCTTCACACCACACCGCTGCCACTAGCTGGAGCCAAGGAGCATAGGGAATTCTCCATCTAGTGGTGGGAATGTTGTGTGAGTGACATTCACTCAGCGTTTGGCTGGGTGGAAGATTTATAAATTAGTAGTCTACAAGCAGCACCACCTCCCGGCCCACCTCTAGCTGGAGACTGACTTGCACATGGCTGTAGACAGGGAGGGTCAAGGGATGCCAATCACCCTCCTATACCTCAAGGATGTCCAATCAAGGACGCTTGTTTCAGTCTTCTGCTAAAGAATTCCAGTTTGGCATTGATGCCCTACACTGATCATCGTTTTAAGACTCAACCCACAGTCTCTACAGCAGACAGAGCGGTCATGTACTTATATAAACATTATTTAAAATTTTTAATCTAAACGGCAAGCTTGGGCAATGGGTAGGCATCGCCATTATGTGGTTTGACATACACTATATTGCCAAAAGTATTGGGACGCCTTTACACGCACATTAACTTTAATGGCATCCCAGTCTTAGTCCGTAGGGTTCAGTATTGGGTTGGCTCCGCCCCTTGCCGCTATAACAGCTCCGCCTCTTCTGGGAAGGCGTACACAAGGTTTAGGAGTGTGTCTATGGGGATGTTGGACCATTTGTGAGGTCAGGTACTGATGTTGGAGGAGAAGGCCGGGCTCGCAGTCTCTAATTCATCCCAAAGGTGTTGTATCGGGTTGAGGTCAGGACTCTGTGCAGGCCAGGAGCTCCAATTCGGGCAGCGAAGATGACAAGGAGCGCCGAGGATGAGGACTAGTGAAACGTATTCAAGTAAAATACAGCGAGTCCAGTTGCCTTGACTTATTTTGTACAGATATTCTCTATAGCAAGCTTCCTACATTGTTGCAAGGTTTGTGTATTGGTTGTAGCAAGGCTTGTGCGTCAGCTGTAGCCCTCCGGTACTTACTAGTGGCCGGCCCTGCCCCTCGATTGCGCTTCTGTGCTTGGCCCCGCCCCCTGTTGTGAGGGGTGGGGCCTGTTGGTGGCCACATGATTGGGCTGCTCGGTCTAAAATGCCCGGGCCTATTTTTAGTCCCAGTCCGGCCCTGCTTCACGGTACCACGCTTGTAGTCACTGAGCTCCTGAGAGCGATCCGTTCTTTCACAAATATTTGAAGAAGCGTCTGCATGCCGAGGTGCCTCATCTTATACACCGGGGGCCATGGAGGTGATTGGAACACCTGAATCCAATGATTTGGAGGGGGAGGAGCCCAATACTTTTCCCAATATAGTGTGCCTTAGGCTTACATAATCATTAAAGTGGATCTAAAGCTTAAAACTTTTCTTCACATTTTGGAAAGAATTGAGAAATGATAAAACCCCATTTCCTGCTGTGTCCCCAGTTGGGGGATTTCCATTCACTTCCCATCCCAAAGACTCCACTCAACTGTTAAGAGGAAAGTCTTCAAAGTCTTCCCATTGGAAGTAGCAAAACTCAGACTTCTCAATGGCCTTTTTCCTAAAACCATGTACTGAGCCAAAACGGTCCAGCTCACAATTTGCAGCTGGAGGGCGAGCCATTGTGGCCAGAGGGGGGGGGGTCCGAATTCTATCTGCAGCATCTGGACCGTCCAGCCTTTAAATACACACTGCGTTGTGTTCACAGAAGTGCCAAATATACCCGCCGGGCTCATGTGTGATTTGGAATGCTGCATATCTCATACTGTGACAACAATAGGCGGCAGTCGCTGGCAGACACCATATACAGGCTGTGCCAACAAAACACAAATCAAAGATATAAACAGTGACGAGGACATTCCAGTGGAAAGAGTTTTCTCTCATGTTGAAGAGAAACTTCACCCACCACTTCCCCCTCTTACCTAATGCTGGGATCTCCTCAATTCACATTCACCCAGCAAACCCGCTGATCTGAAATCTGCTGCCACACTCCGGCTCCCACGCTGCCATCTTCTACCCTATCATCAGGAGCCACCTGGGGTTCAGGCAGTCGACCCTCCCATCACATGTCAGGGTTCCCACCATCCCTGTGCTGAGTTCCCGGGTCCGTACACCCGCTGTGCCCATTATGAGGGGCCCCCACCATCCCTGTGCTGAGTTCCCGGGTCCGTACACCCGCTGTGCCCATTATGAGGGGCCCCCACCATCCCTGTGCTGAGTTCCCGGGTCTGTACACCCGCTGTGCCCATTATGAGGGGCCCCCACCATCCCTGTGCTGAGTTCCCGGGTCTGTACACCCGCTGTGCCCATTATGAGGGGCCCCCACCATCCCTGTGCTGAGTTCCCGGGTCTGTACACCCGCTGTGCCCATTATGAGGGGCCCCCACCATCCCTGTGCTGAGTTCCCGGGTCTGTACACCCGCTGTGCCCATTATGAGGGGCTCCCACCATCCCTGTGCTGAGTTCCCGGGTCTGTACACCTGCTGTGCCCACTATGAGGGACAGACTGTTGGATTCTTCGTCAGGGACAGACATACCCAAATCTCTCAGGTGGTCAGGAGCAGAGTCAGTAATGGTGGAAGGAAGAAGATCTCATTATGAGGGGCCCCAGGTGCCGAATTTGGCTCCTGGTATATTTGGACATATCCAGCCGGCAATCCCCTTACTGTAGCACCCGGGAAGTTGCAGGTACATCCTGGTTAAGAGCAAACAGATGTTAAATAGTAATGCAGGTGCTAAAAACAACCTCTTGTCATGTGACTGCATAGCGTGTCAGGTATGTGGATCGGGTATTTACATTGTGTTGCTCGTGCACGCTGGATCCAGTGACAGGTTCCTATGGAAATCCTGGTGTCAGTCCCAGAGACTGTCTAGCATGCAGCACTCTCTGCTCATAGACTTTAGTTGCAACCTCATTATATATATATATCCCTCATGTATTGCCCATGTACATCAATAACACGAGCCGGCCAACCCGGCCAGATCACCAGCAACATCATTCATTCATATGCACCTCCGAGCACGGCTCTGCTGCTGGGCAATGGCAGGCGCTTACCTGCTCTCCGGGTTTCCAGCGTCAGTCGCTTGAAGTTATTCCTCCCAATGTGGACGAAGGACAGAAGATTCCATCAGGTGATCTGAGAAAACAAAAGAACGATGTCACAGAGAAACTCTCCTATGTTACCGCCGAGACTTCCATATGCGCCACTCGGGGAGGAATAGGGAACACTAATCGCAGACAGGTGTGCAGGAAGGT